AGAGCAACTGCCTCAATACCTTACTTCCCTGTGCAAGTCGCTGGCGCCGGAGATATCGGACCCAGAATGGCTCATGGACCGAGCCCACAGACTACCGAAACCGCAGAATCTGCATAAAGATACGCCACGCGACGTGGTCGCTCGCTTCCACTACTACAAGACGAAGGACCATCTACTGCAGGCGGCGAGGAAAATCACTGTGATGCCTGCACCGTATACAGGTGTTCAATTATACGCAGACCTGTCAGCTATGACAATGGGCAGACGCAGAGAATTCATCAACGTGACAAAGTCCCTGAGAAACAACGGCATACAATATAGATGGGGCTATCCTACAAAACTACTTATATGGAGGAATGCCAAAACGTATACCGTAAACGAACTGGAGGTGGGAATGCGCTTACTAAAAGAATGGGGCCTATTCCCGCTACCACCGAGAGACGCTTCGACTACAGCATCCCCGAAAAGACCGCATGCTGACTGGCAGATGGCGGGCTCGCCACAAAGGAAAGAATAGGGCTCCAGGTCGGGACCAAACAAGGACATACCACTAACCCACTGTAAAATCGGACACTGAGAGACACTCTAACCCAATGCTAGCCTCCGCTCTATGACATGCTAATGTAACTGGATTGTGAGTATGACATTCTGAACCTCTTAATGTAATACACTATATGCGAGTCCCTATTGTCCAAGGAGTAAGGCATTACGTAGCGGGGTGACCAAACTTGTCAAACCCAGCGGGTGGGGAATCAGGGCAGGTACAAAGGGGACGGTAGGGACGCAACTCTACGAGTACTACAGCAAGTAGGAGGTATAGGGTACAGAAGTCACGACTCAGACAATGTGTACTGTACAGGTTTTGTGACAGCATGGCATATACAAGGTGGCAAGATGGAGGAGAGGGTATTGTTTGTGATTAAATGGTGGGTCCTGGTTGGACATCTCAGACATGATTGTGGGGTAGGAATAAGTTTATTTAGAGAAAGGCTGTCACGCACTCGGCCGAACCACCCAGGTGCAACCCCAGGATGAGACGTGAGCCGGATAGAGTTTGCCCGCTCACACCTCACCCACGTAGAGCGCTAGTTCTCTCCATGGCGCTTTGTACATACTTTAGTTATTATTTCTCCCTCCCTGTATTCGTGTCCACTGTCCCTACATTCCCTCCTTTCGGTCCCGGACCAGTAGCATACCGCATGTCGCAGGCAGCGAATGACATCCCAAGGCCCCAGCATAGCATAACACTACACCAGGATCATGGATGACTCTCTGGCAATCCTCACCTTAAACGTTAAGGGTCTCAACAGCCCACATAAAAGGAGGCTAGCAGTACAGGAAATGACCAAATCCAATGCAGCGATTATAGGCCTCCAAGAGACGCACTTCTGCATTAGGAAACACCCCAAATTCACTGTCAAACAGTATCCCCAAGGTTACCACGCCATGTCAGACACTAAAGCTAAAGGAGTTGCTATCTATTTCCATAGGGACTGGGCATTCACACCATCCAACCAATTTGCCAGTCGAGACGGGAGAATACTAATATTAGTGGGCTCCTTAAATGGTTTATCGGTGACTATAGCTTCCATATATGCGCCGAACGATAAGCAAAAAACCTTCCTCAGCAAAGTGTTTAGGACAATTGACAAGCTCAGAGTGGGCCATACAATTATATGCGGGGACTTTAATTGCGTTCCAGATCCCGATGTCGATATAAAACGAGAGGGGAACAAATTACCACAACAACATTAAATCTCACTAGGCCAACATTTTAGGAAATTATTGCATGGGCATAACTTCTATGACACATGGAGAGGCTTGAACCCGAGCGGGAGGGACTACACGTACTACTCGTCGGTCCATAGGACCTACACGAGAATTGATCTCTGTCTACTCGACACCAAAACGTTGCCCTTCGCCATTAAGGCTCACATTGGGCCGATCACGTGGTCTGACCATGCCCCATATGTTGTCACTATGCGAATTCCGTACCCAGCTAGGGGTAGAGGCACGTGGCGCCTGAATGAAGGTCTGTTAGACGTACCGGCACATCTCCAGCGACTACAGGCCCGGGCTGAGGAATTTTTCGCCGACCACGTTAACTGCTCGTCATCCGACGCCACAAAATGGCTGGCCCATAAGGCGGTCATGAGGGGAGAATTAATCCAAATAGGGGCTAGAACAAAGAGGCTGCACAACACAACACTGGACAAGGTAGAGAAAGACCTGGCCACAGTAGAATCCACCCATAAAACAAACCCCACTATGGCAACACATAAGCGACTGATGTCACTTCGCACAATACTTCATATCCTCAACCTCGCTGTAACAGAACGACACTTGAGGTTTTTGAAGCAGTCATACTATGTCATGGGTAATAAAGCTGGGAAAATGTTGGCCAATAAAGCGAAACAAACCAAATTGCAATCTAAAATCCCGTACATAACCTCCACAACTGGGAATAAATTATACAACCCCCAAGACATAGTGAACGAACTAGCGAAATACTATGCCTCATTATACCAATTAGAAAAAGATCCCTCCACACACCAACCGATGGAAGACGAGATAGCACGTTTTCTAGATAAAGCGCCCCTAGCCAGTCTAACACAAGCACAACGCACCCAACTAGAGAACCCCTTCACGGAGGATGAAGTAGAAACAGCAATCAAATCCCTCCCCAAACATAAGGCCCCCGGACCAGACGGGATATCCAACTACTACTACATAAAACTGACCAAACAACTACTCACGCCTCTCACCAACCTATTTAATCACATAAAAACTGCAGGGACTATGCCCACGGAAATGCTGGAGGCACACATAGTGACGTTACCCAAACCCAACAAACCCCCCACACACTGTGCAAACCTACGCCCAATCTCCCTCCTGAACGCAGACACCAAACTGTATGCCAAACTCCTTGCTTCTAGAATTAAACCAATCCTCGCAGACCTCGTCTCGGAAGAGCAAGCGGGCTTTGTCCAGGGGCGTCAAGTAGGGGACAACACTAGACATTTCCTGAACCTGATTGAATGGGCAAACGCCTCGCATCAAGCGGGACTCTTGCTAGCGCTTGACACTGAGAAGGCGTTTGATCGCCTACACTGGAGGTATATGTTGCTCACCCTCACCAAAATGGGATTCCCACTAAACTTTAGATCAAGCATAATGGCATTGTATCAAAACCCTTCAGCAAAAGTTTTTAGCACGGGCTTCGTATCTAACAGGCTCGCCATATGTAATGGCACCAGGCAAGGCTGTCCCCTCTCCCCCCTAATATTTATCCTATGCTTGGAACCGCTAATAAGGATAGTAAAAAATGACCCCAATATACATGGGCTGCACACCCAGGGGGGCGTAAATAAATTAGCTCTGTTTGCCGATGACATACTGCCGTTTGTTACAAAACCGGAGTCCTCCCTTCCCACTCTAATGAGAACGCTGGTAGACTATGGGGAGATATCGTACTACAAAAACAACATAACCAAAACGCAAGCTCTACCCATAAACCTACCAAAACCTACATTAGAAAGGATAAAACCGCAGCATCCCTTTGATTGGCGCACCAATTCCTTAAAATATTTAGGTGTAAACCTCACCAAATCCCTTCAAACGGTGACCAAAGAAAATCACTACCCCGTGCTAAAGAAAATCAAATCCTCCCTCGAACAGTGGGCTAGCATGGATACCTCCTGGCTTGGACGTATCAACCTAATTAAAATGATGACACTACCACACATCCTATACCTATTCAGAACCCTGCCCATATCCCTCCCGACTGCGCTGCTCAAACAATTCCAAAGCACGATCAATGCACACATCTGGAAGAGGAAACCCCCGAGAGTGAATAAAGGGTGTCTGGGACTTCCTTATGTCCAAGGTGGACTGGGGATGCCGGACGTTACTGCATACTACAGGGCCTCTTTCTTGGCACAGGGACTGCGACTCATTAGGAACCATAATCTCCCCCGTAAACCCCTCTGGCTGTCATTAGAAAATGAATGCCTAGAGGCACATGACACAGTCCATTACTTGTGGACATGCTCCTCGCCCCGAACATCTGCGGGCACGACCCTGAGATACTCGATCACTATGCTTAAAGCATGGAAGACCTGGTGTCCGAGGGTGCTGGACCCGGTACGATTATTTAGGGAGGCACCCATCACAACACTAGCAGCCTACTCCCCAGGCATACAGGTGGGCAAATGGCTCAACAAGGGAGCGAGATTAGTGAGGGATTTAATGTCAGGAGACGCGGTGAAACCATTCCCTGAATTGAAAGAGGAACTGGGGTTAGACTTGAGAGATCTGTACCTTTATTTAAGAATCAAAAACATAATATTAACCCATGGTAAACAAACAGCCGCTCGAACTGACTCTCCGGTACTCCAACCTAGCCACTTATCTCTGACAAAAGTAGCAAAACCACTCTCCCTATGTTACAATGCGCTGGTCACAGATAACACCCCAGATAAACTGAAATACAAGGCAAAATGGGAGCAGGACCTGGGATTTCATATCTCCCAAGCAGACTGGCAGTCTGCAAGGGCAAATACAAAACAGGCATCGAGTAGCCTCTCGAGGCCTACTGCAAGATAACTATGAGGTGGTATCTGGTACCACAGAGACTAGCGAGTATGTACTCAGGCGCTACGAACTTGTGCTGGAGATGCGAGTCGGACACTGGAACCATGTTACATGTGTTCTGGAAATGCCCGTTGCTAGACGGATTCTGGAAACAAATCCAAACCCTGATCTCAAGTAAGACTGGCACCTCCATCCCCTTGCGACCGGAAAAGTACTTATTACACGTTATACCAGACCTAGACACACACCCTCACAAAAAAGTGATTCTGAATATATTGACGGTAGCAAAAGTAGCCTTAGCTGGTAACTGGAAAAGCAAACAAGTTCCTCAGATAGAGGTGATTATCAACAAAATGAATGTGATTAGCATATACGAGAAAATGGCCAGCAAGCTGAAAGGATGCCTAGGAAAGTATGATAAAGAATGGGTATGTTGGGCGGCTACATAGTCACTGAATGACAACTAAGACAAACCGACTGCTCGAACCAAATGGTTAACCCCCATAGTGGGCCAGTAAGGAAGCACACAGGCGCAAACGTTAGGGGAACAAAGGGGTTAGGGCGTTGAGGTGCTCAGGCGAACACATAGCCTCACCAATCTCACAAGTTACATAATGAAGATGATTTATACTTTACTGCTAGCTGTGGTGTGAAGCTGCGTCCAGGGATTTCCCCCCCCCCCCCCTCTTTTCCTTCTGTATCCCATCCCCTCCCAAGTTAAATATAATAAATGTACCGCATGCTTTGAAGCTGTATGCATCACATCGAACATCGCCTGACACACAGATTGTTTGTATATTTAATTGGTTAATTGATCAATTGATTGAGAAGTACGGCTGGATACAGGGCGAAATGTAGAATGTTATCCGCAAATGTTGCTGTGAAGGCGGACTGTAATTATTTACCATGTTATGTGTTGCAAATATCATTCAATAAAAATGATAAATGAGAAAATGCCTTTCTGGCATTACTTGGCAGCCATGTGCCAGTGTATCTGACTCCTGCACCATGTTGAAGGACGCCGGTCGCTGCGGATCCATTCCAATTTGTAATCCCACGTCCGCCCACGGTATTGACGACGTCGACGTGCATGTGACGTCACGCAGGGGACGTGCACGCACATTCTGGGGTCAAAGGCCGGATATGGGTATCAGATCTGAGGGAGGCTTATTTAAACTCCTTTTCCTCATTGCCCTGTTGTGGTTTCCCTTAGTGGTTGTCCGAGAGTGTGTTCTTGAGTGTTTATTTCTGGTTATTGACGTTGGCTTAGTTTGAATTCCCTGTATTCTGGTATCCTTGACTTTTGGCTTTCCCTCATCTTGTTGTCTCATTCTGTGTCCCTGACTCCGGCAAGTATTCTGACTATTCTCTGGTATGTTAAGTCCGGCCATTCTAAGGCCTGGTAAGACATTACCTTTAGTCCTTGGTGTAATTCAGTTCTGCGTGCTGGATCAACTAATACCCTGACATTACGACATGGCCATAGATCTTGCAGAACTGTGTCAACACAAAGCCGTTTGCGAGAGAAAGCTAGAGGAGAATGATCACTGCATGGATCAATTTGCCCAGGCTTTCAGTATGCTTCTTACTCGAACAGTGCATCTACAGCCTGAGGTTTCTCTGACTATGTCACCTCTGCCTAAAGTACCTCCACCTATAGTACATAAGGCACCTACTATCTCCCTATCTCCTCCCCCGCATTTTGATGGTAATATTCAAGAATGCCGGGGATTTCTGAATCAATTTGAGTACCACTTTGAGGCCTCACCGCAATATTTTCCCTCGGATAGAGCTAAGATTGGTTACCTAATTAACCAAATTAAAGGTAAAGCCTTAGCTTGGGCCAATCCATTATGGGAGAGTAATAGGAGTATTGCATATGATTACCAGGAATTCCTTACGGAATTCAAATGAACATTTGAACCATTAGGCAGGGAGGATGATGCCTCCACTGCCCTAATGCATATTAAGCAGGGGAACCGGTCTATCTCAGATCATGCTATAGAATTTTGCCCCTTGGCTTCTGAGGTAGACTGGACTAATAGCAAGTTAATCTCTGCATTTAAAAAAGGATTATCCAAGACAATTCTGGATGAGATTGCTGCCAAAGACCTACGTTACCTAAAAGATTAAATGACTTTATCACATTTGTCATGCAGATTGATAATAGACTTAGAACCAGAGAACTACCAGAAATAGAACCAGACATTTGTCATTAGCACCTTGTTTCTCCAGACCTATTGTTCCTGACCTCCCTGTACAGTCCGAATTTGGGGGTCACTAGAGTTTGGAGGAAGAATGGAGAAGCACAGACTGCAAGATGTTTGAAGTCCAGTGTGAACTTTACACAGTCTGTGTTGATTTGGGGAGCCATGTCATCTGCTGGTGTTGGTCCACTGTGCTTTATTAAGTCCAGGGTCAACGCAGCCGTCTACCAGGAGATTTTGGAGCACTTCATGATTCCTTGCAGACGAGCTTTATGGGGATGCGGACTTCATTTTCCAGCAGGACTTGGCACCAGCACACACTGCCAAAAGCATCAAAGCATGGTTCAACGACCATGGGATTACTGTGCTTGATTGGCCAGCAAACTCGCATGACCTGAACCCCATAGAAAATCTATAGGGCATTGCCAAGAGAAAGATGAGAGACATGAGACCGAACAATGCAGAAGAGCTGAAGGCCACTATTGAAGCATCCTGTTCTTCCATAACACCTCAGCAGTGCCACAGGCTGACAGCTTCCATGCCACGCCACATTGAGGCAGTAATTGCTGCAAAAGGGGCCCAAACCAAGTACTGAGTCCAAATGCATGCTTATACTTTTCCAAGGTCCGATATTGTTCTTTGTACACTCCTTATTTTATTGATTGCATGTAATATTCTAATTTACTGAGAATGTGGATTTGGGGTTTTCATGAGCTGTAAGCCATAATCATCGCACTTATGACAAATCACGGCTTGAACTATCTTACTTTGCATGTAATACGTCTATCTCATATATTAGTTTCCCCTTTTACGTTGCATTACTGAAATAAATGAACTTTTGCACGATATTCTAATTTTTCGAGTATCACCTGTATACTCTAGGAATGATAACCAGCCTGTAGAGGAACACTTTTCTGTGCCAGAAGACACTAGTCATACATGCCATGCCTTTAAGTGTGCCGAAATGTCAGCTTATCTCTTCGTTCCAATAAGTAAAGGAAATGTTAATGGGTGATACCATTCCAACTGTCTGAGGGGGGGAGGAGTGCATGAGCTTCTACCATTAGAAGCAATACAATAGCAGTTCAGAGATTGATACATTTTGCTATAGCAAATTTAAATAACTTTATTTTAGAAATATATATATTAACTGTAATTATTGTATGTGGGTATTATGCTCAAATGCAGACATTATTTTTACATTTTGTTGCCATTTTAGTAAGCTGCACTGCTAGTAATACCTTAAGAGATCTTACAAATACCTATGAGTAGCATAATTATGTTCTATTTTTGTCACACCTACGTTTTGTGAGAAAACTAGTATGTTTGCTTTTATATTAAAATTTCAGACCCTGCGTGAAATATTGCAACATAAAGGACACTATACACTGTTTAAAGCTTTTCATTCCCCAAAAATGTCTATAATTGTGCATACTTAGGTTACCTGAAAAGTAATTTGTACACAAAATGTTTTATTGTATGTTTATGTGCTAGCTAGCTAGCTATGCATCCATTGTTTTAATGTTATTTTAGTATTTTATTTAAACAAAAAGTGCTTGGTAGTGAAGGGGTTAGGGAGTCTAGGCTGGTCACCTGTTGTGGTAAACAAAACACAAAAAAAGTATTTCTGGAATTGAAGCTAGTATCCACTAGATTTGTGTACAGAAGAAACATTTAGTTTGGCAGCAAATCCTGTCCAAAAAAGCCCCCAAAGCATTTTAAGACTGCCCAATTTAGTCCATGCTGCAGTTCGGCTTGTCCGAATTTCTTTAGAAATTTTAACATCCTAAAAAAAGCAGAATAAAAGGTGCCCTACTGTGCTGCCCAGCCATAATGGCTACACTAATGCCTAAATGCCTAGCATAATGCCTAATCAATGTCGGATATTTTTGCAATGCATCTGAGTTGGAAAAATGTGATCATTATAAAGCTGGACTAAAAAAATTGTGAAAAAGCTTAGTTTTATAATGACTGATTGTAATCTTTTAGCTATGTTATTGCCGTCACATTCTATGTTTCTATCATAGTCTTAAATTAGAGGGGCAAAGGTTTAAAAATAACATCAGGAAGTATTACTTTACTGAGAGGGTAGTGGATGCATTAGTATAGGTTTTCACAGAAGACGAGAGACCAATGATAATACAAGTTCAGGTTTATCCTATCATGAATTTCATAGAAACTTAATGACATCATATGGACACGGTGTACCATTTCTTTAACCCCTTAAGGACACATGACATGTGTGACATGTCATGATTCCCTTTTATTACAGAAGTTTGGTCCTTAAGGAGTTAAAGGATCACTATAGTGCCAGGAAAACAAACATGTTTTCCTGACACTATACAACCCTTAGGTCCCCCCCACCCTCAGGGCCCCCCCTCCCTTGGCGCTGAAGGGGTAAAAACCTCAGTTACTTACGTTAATCCGGCGCTGGGCTCGCTCGGCACTGGTGACCTCTCCTCCCCGCCAACGTCATCTCCTTAGTGGAGCCGAACGCTTTCCTATGGACTTTCTGCACACTGGATGCAAAGTTTTTTCAGGAAGACAGCCACTAGAGGTTGGATTAACCCTGCGATGTAAACATAGCGGTTTCTCTGAAACAGCTATAATACATCTGAAGGGTTAAAACCTGTGGGACCTGGCACCCAGACCACTTCATTGAGCTGAAGTGGTCTGGGTGACTATAGTGTCCCTCTAATGTTTTATTATCATATAAGGTAAGTGTCTGTGCTTCAATTAACTTCTTCAGATTGTACAATTGTGTTTTCCGAGTTGTACTTTACTTAAACTATCTTCCCCAAATGGTCACTCAATACAAACACCTCAATCATGAATTTGCTCCTTACACTCTCCTTCACAATCACCCACGGTTTAGGCTGCTAATAATGCTATGGTATGCTTAAAAAAAATTACAAAAAAGGAGTGGGCAAATGACGATCCACTCAACCCTTCCACCCTGAGAAGAACAGAGCTTTCCCACACATCCAGTCTGTAGTGCCAGTGTCCATCCTTCTGTGTGGAAAAAACACAGTACCCTATCACCTTCTTTCAACTGCGTCTGCAGAGGTAGAAGGTCCCGTAAAACTCAGCGGGGCAGGGCAAAACCACTACAATGAAAGGCAGTTGAAAAAATGAGGAGCATTAGCTGCAATATATATATATATATATATATATATATATATTTATATTAATGAGTTAGGTGAAGAAGGGAATTATTTGTTCTTAAATTGGCATTACTGTGGTCCAAAGTTTCTGTCACTTATTAGGGACCAATAAACATTCTTATGGAATACGTAAATACACGAAAATAACAGTCACAATGATACTATGTGTTCTCAAAAGAAAAATAAATAATATTCCTGATCACAGGCAGCTTTAATGACGTTAAAAGGATACTGTAGTCA